TGTAAATAGCTCTCCCTTTGGGTCCTGTGGTCACTGTAGTGAAAAAAGATGTTAACTCTCGGAGGCCTGCAATCCAGCCGGTGACTCCGTGTGAGCTCCCGTGTTTAAATTACTGTACGCTTGAAGCGAAATGACAAATACATTTTAGTCTTCGTTTCCAATTTTTTTTTTTTTTTTTTAAGCCCGTAACAGTTGACTGAACCAGCAGGTTTTTTTTAGCTGTTCCGTTCTGTAACATCTTTCTCACCGTGGCAAAGACAAATCTTTCTGTTTACTCAATTAAAACGGGAGGTCGGAACAAACAGCTTCCATACGCTTTCTATAGGTGGGGTTAATCATTAGCCATGGTAAAGGAAAGAAGTGAGGTTTGTTAACTAGGGTACAGAGATAGTTATTTAGTACACAATGTAATGACCTTGATTTTTTTTTTTTTATTAATGTGCAGTGTTTTAAAGGACACGGTCATTAGGTGATGTTTATGTTTAAAGGTGTGAACATGGTCCATACAGTAATTGGCTATTTTTTTTAAAAGTGAACCTGTCATTAGAATTCACGCAGCACATGCGTTAATAGGCACTTGTCAGCATTACCAAAATGGGTATTTTGCAGTTGTACTTTTGCAGTTGCTTTGCATTTACGATACAGGTCTGGAAATACAGTTATTGTGAAGTTCCAGCCAAAACTTTTTTTTTCTTTTTTTTAAGTTTCGATAGAGTGGGGAAGGCTTAGAACCTCTGTTTTGTTCTTAAAGTGTAAGTAAAGCCACATTTATTTATTTTAGTTTGATATAGAATAGGGAGTGGCTAAACCCCTGGCAGTCTTTTTTTGCCACTTTCTCTGTCTCACTGGGGAGATTTCTCTACACTTCATGTCCCCGAGGCATAACAGGATATAACAGTTGTCACTGGTACAGGTATCCCCATTGGAAGATGCCCCCTCACCTGCTGTTTTGTGACAACCTTGAAAAATAACTCCAGATAAAAATATTATTAACCCTTGCAGTGGGGCTACCCCTGAACTGCAAGGGATAACTGCTTGTTTTTTGCCTTGGGTCAAGTTATACTCACGCGATCCTCCGAAATGGCCGGTTGTGCTCCTCTGCTGCATCAATGGTATATCCCTTGGCATCCCCATGTCCCATACACATATAGTGCATAATAGAAGTCACCAGCACCAACCCTTCGTTAAGGTCTGTACGCTGCATGGAGTGCAGGTGATTTTGTGTTATCTATACAGCTATAGAACATGATTACTCTTGAACCGCTGCAGCGTAGGGGGAGATCGGTTTCAGGGACTGGTCTAAGGACAAGCTGGCTTGGAGGATCAGGTGAGTATAACATTGTTATGTTTGACCCCAGGCAAAAAAATGAGCGGATAACCATTGAAGTTCAGGGGTAGCCCCACTGCAATGGTTACAATTTTTTTTTCCTGGAATTCTGCTTTAAAGTTTTGGATTTTCTGTCACTTTCTGTACAGAAGACAGTGGTCACCACTCACCATGACTTATCTAGAGCGAACAATCTTGTTTGCACGTTTCCTGTGCCCCTTATCTAAGATTTCCACACTCCCTGCTGGATTTTATATTTTATACTATTGAGAATGTATTAGGCTGAAAACCCCCAAAATACAAGGTGGACAGAGTTGGAAAGTATGGCAGAGGTGTCTTCCTGGTGAAGACAAATAAGATGCCAAGGGCTGACTTTGGCTAAAATGTGTCAAAGTAAGTCCATGGCATTTAAGTGACTGCCTGTATATTTACAAGAAAACAACTGGATTTTAACATGTGAGCCCCAATTCTGTATTATAGCAGGAAAAATAAGATTCCAGTTAAAAAACTCCAAAAAAGAAGTGTGGCCATTTGAGAAGCTTGGCAAGCCACGTCGGTCCTGTACAGTCAGATTTTATTTTGTGCTATCTTTTCGGAAGACCATAAAATAAATAAGATCACATCATCCCATTCCTTTAAAGCACAGTCACCCTCCCTGCTAGGGAACTACAGAGGCCTGAACTGCAGCCTGTAGACCATGAACGATCTGACACATGTTGAATTTATCCTTAGATTTGTGAGTATGTGTCTGGCGATGGACAGTGCACAATCCAGCGCAGCCCCAAAGGGAGAGTTAAATCACAGAAAGAACAGTAATGGATTATTATGAGTGTATCACTCAGATTATTACGCTTTTTCTTGTTTTCTTCCCCCCCCCCCAAATGATTCCCTCCCACACAACCCCCCCATCTAAATATGGTTCATCAGTCGGTGCAGAAGGCCTGTCTGTCTGACAAGCATGTGCTCAGGATCAAAGCATCTTATGACTTGGATCAGTGCGGCTAAATCACTAAGTATCGATTGGGAGATTTCTGATGAAGGGTTAACCCCTTCATGTAATGCACAATCCTTGGATAAACTGCAGATTATATATATATTTTTTATTTTTTGCTGATTATAAAAAAGAAGTACAGTAAAATATTGCTATGGGATGGGAAGATGGGACAATTGTATTGTGGAGGATGTCAGTGAAGGTTCTCGTATATCCAGGCCATGGTATAGGTATTAGTAGTTGGTCATATTCCAGCTGACTTGTTCTGTAAGGTTGATGATGCTTTGCTACTCATCCAATACAATATTATATACAAAAAGGAGAAGAGTAGAGAAGGAAGGCACTGCACTTGGTTGTCTCAGCACTAGTGCACATATTATTCTGTTCTGCCTCATTCCTTTATGTCTCATTGCATAGTGCTGTATGTATTTTATCTGGCCTTTAGGTGAGGTTTAGGTGTGTTATGCAGGTCATACACATAACAATATGAACATTTGGTATACCAATTGTTGACTCCTTTCCTGAACAGCTGTCAACATTGCTGGGGTTCTGGTGGAGGCTCAAACTCTCCCATTTTATAGCCAAATCTTGTCCACGTTTACCTGCCATTTGACAAGATTTGAAACTGTTATCAATGCATCAGTCTCAATCATAGACACTTTTTCATAATCTTATTCCATTCTCCTTCGCAAAGAGACCTTTCATACTCCACCATACATTAAAAAATGGCAATACAAGCGTAAGGACTTGCTTACTTTCCCACACCATATACTTTGTTTACAAGGCTTCCCTGGCCAATAAATACCAAGAATTAAACTATACATTTTTAACCCGATGGTACCAAACACCAATGACCTACTATTCTATCCCAATCCCATTCCTAATAAAGCAAAAAATCCCTTTTCAAACATTTAACTAATGCTGAAAAAGCATGCATACCACCCTTTTGGAAGCGTTTGTCGCTCCAACAATTGCACAGTGATTCATTAGAATTAATGAAATCATGCAAATGGAAAACCTTACGGACTCTAGGAAGGGCAGAAACGAACAATAACTACCTCCAATATCATGCCTATCCCGCAAAATAGCCCTTCTGAACTGAACAGAACTCAACTAAAAAGCTGGCTAAAGAAAGCATTGAAAAAAAATATTGTTTTGATGAAAGAATTGTACTATTAGGTGGTTCCATCAATAAACTATCACTTTTATTGAAAGTTCTCTTGCTTAGCTTGTGTCACTCACCTTCCTCTACACTTCCCTTGCAAGTTTTTGGAGTGCGCTAAACCTTATGGGAGATTTGCCTTGTGGAGGGAGGTTGGGTCATTGTATGACTGATCTCTCTCTAAAGGTTATGAGCTGTATTAAAGGAGAACTATGAGGTGAGTGCTTTTCACTCACCTCATAGTTCTAGCCGACCTGTGACAATGAGACTGTCACAGGTCGGCTCAGTAGATCGGGAGGTGAGCGAACACATACCGGCGTTCGCTCACCTCTCGATCCTGTCACGGCTCTCTGCCGTGACAGGGGAGGGGCTGGATTCCCCCCTCCCCGCTCCGATCCGCCAGCGCTGACTGGCGGATCGGACGCGGGAGGGGGCGGGTACAGCTGGCTCTGCCTCTAGATAGGCAGAGCCAGCTGTCAGTAACGAAGCTGGGCGGATCCCGGCACAATTGTCGGGATCCGCTTCAGCTGCGGCGTCTCAGTATACTGTAGCTGTAGCTCGTGGTATACTGAGTCTAGGGTGATGGGAGGATGCTAGTTTGTGTCATCCTGTTACCCTAAGGAGAACTATGGGGAAAAGACTTAACCCCATAGTTCTCCTTTAAGGCCACCATAGACTTTGAAGGGTACAGGCACGAGTCAATCATTCTCAGGCATTTATATTGGCTACCAGTTATCTAAGCTCCAATGGTCACATTGTTCAACAGTTCATGCTTGGCATGTAGAGATGGGCGGAAGTTGCGCACTGCAGATAACTTTCTGAACTATTGGACGGAAATCAAAAGTGATCAGACAAGGTTTTCCAACAAGTCTTATTTTTTATTCTTCCAACATGCTTTGCCTGGTGGTGTCTGCTGATGCCCAGGTCAACATTAGATCATCTCTTGATCTGGCCTCAAATAGCTTGCTTGCCAGATTGTCATCTAATGTCTATGGGCACCTTTAGGTATGCAGTAGCAGAATCCAGTATCATCCAATATCAATACCTGACCTCACAAATGCTCTTTTGGCTGAATGGCACAAATTAACAGAGACACACGCTAAAAAGTATTTCTAGAAAAGTGGAGGCTGTTGTTACCATGAGGAGGAAAGAGAGGGGAAGGTTATATTGGTGTAATGGTCAGGTGTCCACAAACATTAGGCTGTATAGTGTATATTTACATACCAAGATATACAGTATATATATATATATAAGGTTGGTTACTCATTATATTAGCAGGCTATTTTGATGTAAAATGTCGTGTATACAAAGCAACACAGGTTCCCACTTGTTTTTGCTTGCTGAGCAGCTTCATAAACAATACTTGATATGCAAAAAAGGAAGTTATTTTTAATAGCCTTGTTCCATCTCGGCCTGCTCAGCTTTCCCCAGGGATTCTGCATGTGCTTATTTGTTCATATTTGCAATCAGTTTGTTGATGATCCATTAGTGATTTTCGTATATGTAATTTCTTTTTTTAGCTGCCACGAGGACTACATGCAGAATCACCCCTTATATGGGCACGGTGTGTGCAAGTGGCCGGGCTGCGAGGTTGTGTGTGACGATTTCCCATCATTCCTAAAGTGAGTAATCTTTTATATTCTTTTCCTCTGTCCAGACACAGCAGGCCTCATGTATAACTGTGTCTGTAAGGAAGCTGCCTGTGTTGCCCATGGCAATCACAAATATAGTCTGATATTAC